AGCCTGGAGGGGGAATAAAAGCAGACAGCCTGGCTCAGTTCAGGGCTGACTGGCCAGGAAGGAGCTCTGCCTCTCTTTACTTACAGAGTTGGGGAGATAGCCTTGCTAGCTGGAGCAGCCACTGGGAGGAACAGTTAGACCCCAAGGAACATGCAATGCTCAAATCATAGGCCTTGTCTATACTACCGCACTAAGTCAACCTAAGTTACGCTACTTCAGTTATGTGAATAACGTAACTGAAGTTGACGTAGCTTAGGTCAACTTACCACAGTGTCTACAACACTCTGTGTCGATGGGAGATGCTCTCCTGCCAACTTACCTTACTCTTCTCAGGAAGCTGCAGTACCAGAGTCGACGGGAGAGCGCTCTGCCATCGACTTAGCGGGTCTTCACACCAATAATTTAGCATACATATGCTTTGCGGTACCAAAGCTCATTCTTTTAAACCCATGATTACAGCATTTTCTGGATGCTTTGCTTATCATGCATCCATAACCTTAAAATTTGTTCCTGCTGTTCACAGCTTCTATTGAGAAAACTGATGAGAAATTAATCTGAATTATCCTCCTCCTCCTGTGCAGATGTGGTATTACTACTCCCACTTCATATTCTGAAAAATATATTTTTATGCAAGCTATCATTTTTGTAATACTACACCAATGTCAGTGCCTTAGTCACAATACCATGTTTTAAGAGTAAACACTTACTGATCCCTATTAATGAGGAAACAAATTTCCTCAGTTGTTTCCCCAGGACTTTCATGGGGGTACCTCTGATCAACCCACACAGCTGGTCACACCTTGAACCTGGTGTTTGGATTACATATTGATACAGAAGAGACCACAATCCAGCCACTGCTTTGGATACACTATTACCCCACTAAGGCAATGGTGAGAATTCTCTAGCAACCAGACAACCTATGATCCTAGTCTGTCCACAAATTCCCAGGGATCCCTTCAAATTCCAAAACATAGTAAAAGTCAGCAGCACTCTGCCTACAGGTCAAATAATTACGGCTCTGGTGAGCCATCCTCCTCTACACATAGCCACTGAAGTTCTGATTCCCAAATGATGGCTTCCTCCTAACTGTCCATACAAACCTCCTCGGTTTTCTGATAGCCTGATCCAGACAACAAGAAGAAAATGGCACAAAACAAGAAGATTAAACATCAGTGGCATCTAGCCCTTCTATGTGAAGCTAAAGTGCTGCAATAGATCTCATCAAATGAGGTACTACATGAAATATGGTTGAATAGCTACTTGAAGGGTGGGGATTAAGTCAAAAGTCCCCAGAACTATCTAAAACCTGTGGGGTCTTGTGGAAGGATATATTTATCATTTTCTATAGTGGTAAATGCTCAGTTCACAAAATCATATTACATGACACAGAATCGCATGAAGTCTGAACCTTCAAATTCTTCAAACGTTAATTAAGTGGGAGTTCTGCATATGGCGAGCTTGCAAATTTGGACCTTGTCACCGGTATCCCTCAGCCTCACTGGTGATCTAGAAATGTAGTGGTAATTAGTAATCCTGGCTGGGTGTGATGGAGTTTAGTTAGAATGACTGACCCCAGCTGTGAAGAATCAGAGAGAGGATTATTTAAACAGCTGAACTCAGTCAGGGAGAAGACCCAGGAGACAGGAACAAGGAGAGTTCCCTCTTTGAGAAAGGCCTGGGAAAACTAGGCTGGAAAAGAATCAAAAGGGAGCAAGACACGTCTGCAAGGAACAGAGAAATCCCTGAGGTAAACTGCCAAAGTCCTTGGGGGAAAACGTGCTGGGGAAAAAACAGCTTAGGAGAAATTCTGCAGGATCTAGGAGTATAAGCAAAAGCAGAAGATAATTCAGAGAGGCCTGAGAGGGGCAGAAGAATTATTAGTTGGAAGACACTGGACTCATTGTTGGACTCTTATTACTCCTGGAAGGGGAGTGAACTTTTGTCCCTTGGCCAGAGGGCTAGGCCACAAAACACCCAGATAAAGACTGTTGGGAAAAGACACAGACAGGCCACTGTGGGGCCAAGGAAGTGGGACAGAGGTACAAGAGGCGAAGTCCCCTACAATATAGTGCTCTGATGCCAGGGAAGTGCTACAGCAGTAAGAGCAACCTATTACAGCTGTTGATCTACTAAAATAACTCAATTTCAGTTGGCCAATTTAGAATGAATAGATGACATTAACAGGTATCCCCATTCCTTTATCTGGAACATATGACATCATATATGCATTATACACACAAAATATCTCACTCAGACATGCACATTCAATTATTTGAAATCTGGAAAACCTGCCTTATAGTGAGAGATTTAAGGAGCTTACTCTATTTGGTTTATCCAATAGACGGTTAGGAGATGATGTCATCAAAGTCTGTAAATACCTACATGGACAAAATTTCTAACAGTAAAAGATTCTTTAGTGGACAAAAACATAAAATCTAATCTCTGGAAGCTGAAGCTAGACAAATTCAGAGTAGAAATAAGGTTCAAATTTTAAACAAAGGATAATTAATCATTTGAACAGCTTGTCTAGGGATGTCATGGATTATCTATCCTTTGAAGTCTTTAAATAAAGATTGGATGTCCTTCATAACAAATTCTGCAACTCAAAGAAATTATGGGCTTGATCCAGGAATTATTGGTGAAATTCTATGGTCTGTGTTATGAAGGAGGTCAGATTAGAAGATCACAGGAGTCCCCTTCTGGCTTTGAAATGTATGAATCATAATTATGACAATTTTTTTTTAAGGTCTTAACACATTACACACTTTCAAACTGACATTATGTCTTTCAGTAAAATAATAATCTCCCCAAGGTCAGAATCTGAGTACATTTTGACCAACTGAATGCAAATGGATTTGTATTACAAGTGAAAGGAAATTTGTCACACAGCTGAAGAGTCTGGGTTTATTTTACTGATTGTGTTGATTGGAAATTCATTAGTTATTACTATTATTTATTAGACTAAGTTAGTAAGAGTTGTGTGTTGTGAATTCCCTTTTAGTTTTCTTTAAGTGTGTGTGTGGGGGGTGGGGGTGGCAGACAACACAGCATTGGTAGTAATCTTTGTGGCGACAGAGAAAATAGTGGCTTGGGAATGGGGAGGGCAGCAGCGAGGTTGTGTGGTGATGTCCCAGGGTAGCAGGGATTTCAAGTTGTAAGTATGTAAGCAGGAGTGGGATATAAGGTGATATGGGAGTTTGAGGAGCTCAGGTAATGAGGTGAGTGGGGCTTTGTACAGGAGAAGCAAAAAGGCAGATAAGGATTAATGCTTTTCCTGCCTTCTCTGCCCAACAGACTACTATGATTAGCAACACAGAGACTCTTCTCCCTGGCAAGCAGTAACAAGTGCTACACACCTCCATGCTCCCCCACATTCCAGCTCTTTCCCCATCCCCTGCAAAAGATGCATTAACTTCCTGCTAGTTCCCAAAACTGCTGAGCTGCACGATGTTTGGCAACATGAGTCCCACTGTGATTCATCTACAGATGAGTGCAGATGATTTCTGGCAATGGAAAACCACAAAAGGCTTGTCAAATCCAGACTGTGCCCTCTTGTTTTTTTTAAAATGAAGGTGCAGCCTTGTTTTGTCAGCACAGTTTAGCTGAAACCCCTCCTTTTCACCAGCCCCTCCCACTACTTCAGTCTCTAAGAATGAGTGTGTTCCAGAGAAGAGGTGGTTACAGCAATTTGGGCCACTCCACAATGAAGGAGGCTGTCAAGTTGGGAAACAGCTGACAGAGCTGAACAATTCCATTGTCTCTTTTTGGCAGAGATCAAATTGTTTATGATCGGGGAGAATAACTGACTAAATTATGATTTGAAAAGCAGTATGTGTCTTAGGTAGGGGTGCGTGTGTGTGTGTGTGTGTATATATATATATATATATATACACACACACACACACACACAACTAATATATACTATATACTTACTTACACACAC